GCTCTCATCTCACCAAAGCTACCCCAGAAGCCTCTTTTAAAGTCGCACAATCCAGATCTACCCTTGAGCAATCTCTAAGCAAGCAGGGCTGGTCCTGTTGAAACAGGCACCCCTGAATGCTGTAGTAATTCTCTCAGGAAGTAACCCAAGTCTACAGAATACCTTCAAGCCGGGAGGATTCATTATCTAGGGGGCAAGAAGAGCCTGGTCCAGTCCCCCAGAGAGCAAGTAACCCCTCACCGAGAGTTGCTGTCTGACGCAATGCCAAGGCTCAGAGATGCAGAATTTCACCCAAAGTCACACAGCCAGATGGGGTAAAGCTAGTTCCCACCTGTGACCTGCTTGCTTCTGAGCTGGTTCTCCCTACCACCTCCTGCCTCTGGAATTAGGCACCTGTCTTTGGTCTTTAATGTCTACCTGGGATGCCTTACGGTGGGTGGCTAGGGACTGGCATGCAGCTGGAGCAGGGGAGGGGAGACTCTGTATCGCTCCACCCATAATGCCAGAAAATTTCAAATCTTTTTTTCAGGGGGAGATGTTCAAGACAGGGTTTATCTGGAGGCTGTCCTGGAACTAGCTCTTGTAAACCAGGCTGGTCTTGAACTCACAGAGACCTGCCTGCCTCTGCTTCCCAAGTACTGGGATTAAAGGCATGCGCCACCAACGCCTGGTGAAAAGTTCAAATCTTGGCTGTTTCTGTGACCTTGGATGAATCACTCCTCTCTCCCAGGCTCAGTTTCTTCCACCATAAAGTGAGGGAATATCTAGAATCTAGAAAGTTCAAGGCTTAGCTGGGCCTGGTGGTGTATGTACTTGGGAAGTGGAGGCAAGAATATCAATTCATAATAGCAAGCTTGGGGGCTGCAGAGATGGCTCAGTGGTTAAGAGCACTGGTTGCTCTTTCAGAGGACCTGGGTTCAATTCCCAGCACCCACATGGAAGCTCATAACCATCTGTAACTGCAGTTCCAGGGGATCAGACACCCCCTTCTGGCCTCAGAGGGTACCACATACACATGGTGCAGATATACATGAGGTATAAGATAAAAACATATCTCAAAAAAAAAAAAAAAGCAAATTTGAGCCTAGCCCTGAGCTACATGACACCCAGTCTCAAAAACTGCTTTTAAAAAAGGAGAGAAGAGGAATGAAGGAGGGGAAAGGGAGGGGAAATGTGCACATGTCAGATGGAGGAGGGAAGAGCAGGCTAGGGACTAGGGAAAGCAGGAAGACTTCCTAAGGGGACATTTGCAGCAGGCGGGAGGGAGGTGTGTGGACAAGTCCAGGAGATAACTGGGGAAGAGCATCCTGGCCATAAGGTGAGCACATGCAGCTGGAGAGATGGCTCAGTGGTTAAGAGCACTGACTGCTGAGTTCAATTCCCAGCAGCCACATGGTGGCTCACAACCATCTCTAATGAGATTTGGTGATCTCTGCTAGCCGGCAGGCAGAACACTATATACATAATAAGTAAATAATGTTTTTTAACAAAGAGCGCATGCAAAGGCCCTGAGGCAGCAACAATAACAATTGGTCTGTTTGTTACTGTATTGTTGCTATGGTCACTTGGATAAACCATATCTTTTTATAGAGATTCCTTCTCTGTTTCTTGATCTACGAGATGCCCCTTTGAGACCTTATAAATAACTTAAGCTAATCCCCACAGCAACTCTACAGCCCTTAAAAATACATCTGTACCCCGGTGCATGCCTTTAGTTCCAGATTTCCTGAGTCAGAAGCAGGAAGATCTCTGTAAGTTCAAGGGCACCCTGATCTACATAGCAAGTCCTGGGAAAGCTAGGGTTACATGGAGAGACCTTGTCTCAAAAAGCCCAAAACATGTCTGTACACTCCTTGATGTTCTACCATAGAGAGGTGAGCACTGTTTTCTCCCCTTGAGCTCCATGACTGCTCAGCCAATATAAGGAACCCAGCTGGTAAGGATATGTCTTCGCCTTGAAACACAGTATTTTTCTCTCTATGAACATTTAACCTCTTTGGAGGCTCCAGCACGCAGAGGCGCTGCCACACATGTGACCAAGCTTCCCGACGGCAATTTAGTTCTTTCCTGATTGTTCAACGTTTCGACTAGAACCCAGGGAACACACTGGGATGGACAAATCTATACTGTTTCCTGACTTCCTCAAAGGTAATGGTCAGAAACAGAAATGCTTGGGCAAAGAGAAAAACCTATGACTTAATTTGTTTCATTTCTTTTTCATTTTTACTTTCTGTGTATGAGTGTTTGGCTTGCGTGTACCATGTATGTGCCTGTTGCCCACAGATGTCAGAGACAGTCAGACCCTCCCCAGCTGGGCTTACGGTTATGAGCTGCCATATGGGTGCTGTGAACTGAACGTAGGTCTGGAAGAGCAGCAGGTGCTGAACCATCTCTCTAGCTGGTTTGCTGGGTTTTTTAAAATTTTTTTAAATTAATTTTTTTTACATTCTAGTCCCATTTCCCTCTCCCTCCTCTCCTTCTCCCCCCACCTACCATCTGCAGCAGGGAGGGTAAGACCTGTTTGATTTTTTTTTTTTTTTTTTGGTTTTCCGAGACAGGGTTTCTTTGTTTTGTTTGGGAGGCTGTCCTGGAACTCGCTCTATAGACCAGGCTGGCCTCGAACTCATAGAGATCCACCTGCCTCTGCCTCCCGAGTGCTGGGATTAAAGGTGTGCGCCACCAACGCCCAGCTGACCTGTTTGATTTTAAGGATGTTATATTTTTAGTTATATACCCGTGTGTCTGTGCCTGATGAAACTAGAAGAGTGTGACTGTCTGGACACTGTCCAAACAATGATGCGTGGTGAGCAATGTTGTTACTAGAGTTTTTCTTTCCAGCTTAGTCCCATAGCCGTTTAGACCCAAATGAACACACAGAGACACTATATTAATTATTAAGCTGTTGGTTGGTAGCTAGGGCTTCTTACTGGCTATCTCTCTCTTAATTATTAACACACGTCTATTAATCTATGTATTTCCACATGGTCTTATCTTACCGGAGAAGGGTCTTGACCTGCTACTCCTACCTGTGGCGTCTCTCTGCCTACCTTTCCCAGAATTCTCCTCGTCTCCTAGTCCCGCCTATTTTCCTGCCTCTGTTGACCAAATAGTGTTTTATTCATCAACCAATAAGAGAAGCATATATACAGAAGGACCCCCCCATCACAATGCCTTAGGGAACTCTGAGAGAGCCTCCAGGGAAAAGGACAGGAGCATTTTGTCCCCTGGATTGTTCTTGGATGTGATTTCACGCCTCCTGTGTTAAATAAGACATGTTTATTCTTGTTGGATGTCAGAACACGGCTACAGAACCCAATCTGGTGAAAGTGTGCCCTGAATCTGGATGTGCTCTTCTGCCTTGCTTCCATGCTTCCCCAGATATGATTTACAGTACATACCAGGCAACTGTGTTTAAACTGGTCTGTCCTGAGAAAGTTCTAGAAAAGAACTGCTCTGTTAATATTTAATATGTGATCATTGTTTTCTTTGTTACTTTTCATTTATAAAAGTACACTGAAGCCAGGCAGTGGTGGTGCACGCCTTTAATCCCAGCACTCCGGAGGCAGAGGCAGGCAGATCTCTGTGAGTTCAAGGCCAGCCTGGTCTACAGAGCTACACAGAGAAACCCTGTCTCAGAAAACAAAACAAACAACCCCAAAATAAAAACAAAACACCTTTTTCTACACCATTTCTACATGGCCGCTGCCTCCTGTGCCTCTCTCTTCTTTCCTTCCTCCCCTTTGGTCGTCTGTTTGGAGACAGGGTCCCACTGTGCAGCCCTTGCTGGCCTGAAACTATGTAGACCAGCTGGCTCCTGCTAACCCCACCAAACAAGGATAAGACCACTACCACAGTTTAAAGTCAAATTTGGAGCAAGCTTTAGTTAAACTAAATACTGACCTGGAAGATGGGCTCTGGCTGAGTCCATCTCTGGGTTTCCAGAAGTTGGCCCTGAATTGGGGTTTACAGCAGCTTAAGTATTCCCATCAGGTCCAGTCAGGGGCAAGCACACATCCTGACATACCTCCAGCCTACATCCAGTTAGGGGCAAGCATACATTCTGATGCATTTTCTGTCTGTGAACCTCCCACCCACATGTGATCAAGCACATCCAGTGCAGCGGGGTCAAACAAACCTAATTAGGGGAGTGGAAATGTGTGGCTTGTTATAGCCCATCAACAGTAGCCTCCAGTATTTCAGGAACTATCTGTCCTTGGGCAAGCGGCTTACAGATCAGAGGCATTTCTGTTTCATGGATCTTTTTTTTTTTTTTTTAGTTTTCGAGACAGGGTTTCTCTGTGGTTTTGGAGGCTGGGATTAAAGGCGTGCGCCACCAACGCCCGGCCTATTTCATGGATCTCTAAGGCATAGTAAGTAAAACTTAAAATGTAACTTCGGCTCTCACACTCAGATCTCACAGATATCTGCCTCCTAAGTGATGGAACTAAAGTCATGCATCATGATACTAGTTTTCTTTAAAGGCAGGGACAGTGGTGGCTCACACCTTTAATCCCAGGACTGGGAGACAGAGACAGGTTGATCTATGAGTTCGAAGACAGCCAGAGCTACACAGAAAAACCTTGTCTTGAAAAACCAAACAAAACAAAAAAAAAGACCTTTCGTTATTTATATGTATTTGTATGTGTGCATGAGTACATGCATTCATGTATGTGTCTATGTAGATGCACCCAATGACACTAATATGTTTTCTGTTCCCACCTATAATTAGTTTCAGTGAGCCAGACTGAAAAAGTATAACAACACGTTTATTCCAGCAAAGCAACTCTTGGGAGAGTTACCCAGGCCCACAGACAGAGGCTGGAGAAGCTGCACCCTCCCCCATAACTAAAGCAGGGAGACTTTGTAGGCTGTAGGTGAGGGATGATGACACGGCCGCTACAAGCTGGTCAACAGTATGATCAAAAACTGAGCTCTCAGGTGGAGGTAATTTCAGGGGAAGAAGCCACAATAGCCGCCAAGAATGTAGAGCTGGGCTTTTTGGAGCCTTTCCTCTGTCTGGGAAGAGAGACAGAAATGGGACTTCCAGGATTGTGCAGGGGTTAAGCTGGAGTTTCCAATGCAACAGACACAAGGAACACAAAAAGGTATCTGGGTCAAGCATGGGGACACTTGTTTCTAAGCCCAGCACTTGGGAGATAGAGGCAGCAGGGATATGAGTTCAAGGTTACCCTTGGCTATGTGGTGAGCTTAAATTTAGGAGTAAAAGGGATGGTTAATAGTGCTGGTCACAGCCGGGCGATGGTGCATGCCTTTAATCCCAGCACTCGGGAGGCAGAGGCAGGCGGATCTCTGTGAGTTCGAGGCCAGCCTGGTCTACAGAGCGAGTTCCAGGACAGCCTCCAAAGCCACAGAGAAACCCTGTCTCGAAAAACCAAAAAAAAAAAATAGTGCTGGTCACTCTTGCAGGGGACCCAAGTTCAGTTCCTACCACCCAGGCAGGGCAGCTCATACCACCAATAACTCCAGTTCCAGGGAATCTCAATGCGGACTGCAGAATTATGCAGGGAGAGTTCAGCACATACTTCAGAGGTCAGTCCATCAGAGAGTGCTCATCTCTTGAAGGACATCCCTCATTTAGCAAGGCGATGAGGAATATTGTCATCAGAGATGCATATTTTAATCTTATCTTCAAGACGATAAGGAATGCTGCATTCTGAATGTGCCAGCTGTCCCCATGGTAGATTCTTGTGTGAAGAGCTCTTTCCCTCAAATTACAGCTTGGGGGTTCTTCCCACAGCACCACAGTGTGTTAATAGTTTACTGGGCATATATTCTGCAGACAGTCTGGAAGATTACTTTTCATTTCCAGTAGTGACACACACCTTTAAATCCCAGCACTTGGGAGGCAAAGGCAGGTGGATCTCCCAGTTTGAGGCTAGCCTGGTCTACAGAGTCTCAAACAAACAAACAAAAGGTCACTGGACTCCGTTTCTGTTTGGGTTGTTCATCCACACAGCTGGCTGCTGAATATGTGTCACCAGGCAAGACAGCGAACACTGTGCTGGGGGAGACAGGGATCCAGACTGGCAGATGAGAGTCCCGGTAGCTGGACTAGACCAGCAGGTTTGAAGATATTCTAAAACAGACACTTGGTATCCCTCCCTCTGGCTACCTAGCAGGGGATTGAAATAATGGTCCCCAAGGAATTGGAATTTTTCCAGAAATCTCCTGGTTGAGGAGGGAAAGCCTGAAGCCTGGCACCAGCCAGAGGTGTAACAAGTTGTTGTACAGTTTTGACAGTTTCTTAGGCCACCCGCCAGGACAGATGGGGACAGAGAATGATGGGCAGGGCCCCACCTCTACCTGTGTGCTCAGGCTAACTCTTACACCAGGACTGGTTGCTTCACATGTCAATCTCAGGTCCCTCTCCCTTTCCCTCCCCTCCTCCCAGCCCTCCCACCAACCCTCCCCAATATTCCCTCCTTTCCCCAGGGAGGGTGAGGCCCTCCATGGGGTTGTCCATAGTCTGTCATTTCATCCAGGGCAGGGCCTAGACCCTCCCCCAAGAGTCCAGGGTGAGAAAGCATCTCTCATTGTGGGATGGGAGCCCAAAATCCATTTGTATGCCAGGGATAAATACTGATCTACTACCCAAGGTCCTCACTGACACACACATTCAGAGGGTCTTGATCAGTCCCATGCTGGATTCCCAGCCATCAGTATGTGATTCGAGAGCTAACCCTTGTTCAGGTCAGCTGTTTCTGGGGGTTAAACCAGCCCAGTCTTAACCCCTTTGCTCATTAGTCCTCCCTCTCTTTATTTTACTATTTTTGGATTTTCAAGACAGAGTTTTCCTGGGTAGCCTAGGCTGTCCTGGAACTCTATAGCCCATGCGGGCCTGGCACTCCTGAGTGCTGCGATTAAGGTATATGTTACCACCACCCGGCAGGTTTATTTGCTTGTACTTCATGTGTATTGGTGCTTTGCCTGCATGCTTGTATATGTAAAGGTGTTGGATCCCTTGGAACCAGAGTTACAGACAGTTGTTAATTGTCATGTAGGTGCTAGGAATCGAAGCTGGGTCCTCTGGAAGAGAAGAGAGTGCTCTTAACCTCTCCAGCTCTCACCCCCAGGTTACTTTTGGGGTTCTTAGTCTCATTAATGAAAGAATTTAGCAACAGACTCCAAAGGAATCTCAAGGATAATTTTATTAGATGTTAAGAAAAAACAATAGGGCAGGCAAGCCATAAATCCTAGCAGGTACAGGAAGGGCAACGAAGTAGAAAGCCATGACAATTTTGATGATGACTGACAAGCAGTCACATGGCAAAAAGAGAAGGGGGGCTCAGAGAAAGAGTGGAAAAACCCAGAGCACCTTGGGAAGCATGCTCTGGGCAGGATCCAGCTAGGAAAAGGAGAAGTAAGGAAAAAGAAAGGAAAGGTGTGCTTCTCTGAGTAACTCAGAGAGTGGGAAGAAATCCCGCCTGCCTGCTCCTGGAAACACCTGCCTGGAGAAGGGGCTTCTGGGGAGGAAAAGTGCATTATCTCCCGGGGGGGGATCACTATTCCTCCCAGATCCTCTCGGGTAGCTTAGAATGCCATGTCTCCACCAGATGAACTTAGAACAAAACTCAGATACCTCCACCTTTATATGAGGTGATTTAAATGTCAAGGGAAGGGAAAACTGACGTTTACATTTCTGGTGTTACCAGGGAAACAGGAGGTGGGGATCTGAAGCATTGGGAGCTACTGTAGCAACTGGACCTCTTTATCAGTCCCTGTTTCCAAACAGTTGGGGTTCTCTGCTTTCCATTATTCTGTAGTTGGGATTTTTTGTTTATTTGTTTGTTTGTTTTGCTCTTTGTTCTCTGGGGGCCTGCCCACTCAGCTCCCAAATAAATACTCAGAGGGTTTTTTTTTTTTTTTTTAACTTATGAATGCCTGGCTTTAGCTTGGCTTGGTTCCAGCCAGCTTTTTTTTTCTTTCTTTCTTTCTTATTTATATTTATTTATTTATTTATTTATTTATTTATTTATTTATTTATTTTTGATACAGGGTTTCTCTGTGGCTTTGGAGGCTGTCCTGAACTTGCTTGGTAGTCCAGGCTGGTCTCAAACTTCTTTTTTTTTTTTTAATTTAAATTAGAAACAAGCCTGCTTTGTATGTCAATCCTAACTTCCTCTCCCTTCCTTCCTCCCCCACCCCCTACTAGCTCCCCCCCATCCCATCTTCCCTCGGCTCCCCAGGGAGGGTGAGGCACTCCATGGGGGATCCCCGAAGTCATATCACCCTGGGCAGGGCCCAGGTCCTCCCCCCTCCAGCCAGTTTTTCTTAAATTGTCCTGTCTACCTTTTGCCTCTGGGCTTTTACCTTTCTCTCTTTCTGTATATCTTTTCTTTCCTTCTTCCTCCGTGTCTGGCTGTGTGGCTAAGTGGTTGGCCCCCAGTATCCCCTCTCCTCCTCCTTTTCTCGTTCCTCAATCTTCTCTCCCCAGATTTCTCCTCCGGTTTATTCTCTCTGCCTGCCAGCTCTGCCTACCCTTTCTCCTGCCTAGCTATTGGCCATTCAGCTCTTTATTAGACCAATCAGGTGTCTTAGACAGGCAAAGCAACACCGCTTCACAGAGTTAAACAAAGGCAACATAAAAGAATGCAGCACATCTTTGTATCATTAAACAAATGTTCCACAGCATAAACAAATGTATCACATCTTAAAATAATGTTCCACAACTCTATTCCTTGCCACTTTAACTGGTCCACTGAGGACAGGGGACATAAGGCTGAGCTTAGCTTGTTAGAGCTGCCAGGACACCCTGTGATGCTTACCCCAGCCATCCCCCGCCCCACCCTCCCGGCAGTCTCCTTATATAGAGCTAGACTGTCCTGGAACTCAACAAGCTCTCCAGCCTTTGCCTCCCAAGTGCTGGACTAAAGGCATACTCAACTGTGATGGATTCCTAGTCACATTCTTAGCAGGGCGTGTCACTCACTGCTAGACAGAACCCTAATTCAAACTAGCTGCAGTGGGAAGGTCCTGGGGTGGCTCACTGACTGGAAGGAGGATCCTTGGGAGAGGGCCAGGGTTCCTCTCTAACCTCTCGCTGAGGATGGCACCCAGCTCTCCCACCCACAGGGGCATCTTCCCACCTGGGCCGAGACACAACTTGATCCAAGAAAGCAGATTCCTGATAAGGAAGGACAAAACAAAACAGGAAAAACTCTGATTGGTTTGTTTTGTCACATGTCCATCTTGGACCACATCGATGATGCCAAGGAGTTGGCACCCTTAACTGGTTCAGTTTGGGTCAGGTGGTGACTCTTCGCCCAGTTACGCCAGTGGGGGTGGAGTTAAGTGAGTATCTAGAAACTCTCCATGGAACTAACGCAGCCAGGCCTGTGGGTTTGGAATGTCCTCAGAAGGACTGCACACCCAGGGCCACCCGGGGAGGGAAATACATGAATGCATACACTGGTCTCTGTGGGTGGGAATCGCTACTGGGTTCTGGAGCTGGAAAATGGTCCACCCCTAACTTGCTGCGTGACTTTGAGCCACGGAGAGATGGGGGCGGTCAGGAAGGAGCCTTAAAAAACAAACAAACAAAAAACCTTTGATTTTCTGCGAATAAAGAAAAACCCGGAAAGAGCTGCCCAGTGCAGCCCGCAGAGACCCGCTTTGGCCCAGGGGCACAGCGGTGATCTCAGATGCTAACCTTTGTCTGTTTAGTCTTGTTTTTCTCATTCCCTTCTCCTCCCCTCGCAATGGTGCAATTCGAAACAGCTGAGCTGAGAGGAGACTCTTTGTGCATCCTCAGAAGGGCTCTTAGCACTGTCACCACCCCGGAAGGCTTGCGGGTCTGGGAGACCTCTCTTTGGGCAGCTTAGAGAAGAGGCCACTAGGAATGGACACAGTTCTGAACTGGATCACTGCACAGGAGCTCTGCGGCATGGTAAGGTGGCTTTGGACTGGTCTCTTGGGAGGGGACACATTGCCAGAGAGGGGCTAAACCTGGATTCCTGGGACCCAGAGAGGAACTGCTAAGTTTTAAGCACTCGCCTCTAATCTGCAAAGGGACTTAAACTTTCACCTTTATTTTATGTGTATTGGTGTTGGGTCCCCTGGAACTGGAGTTACAGATAGTTGTGAGCGGTCATGTGGGTGCTGGGAATTGAACCCTGGTCTTCTGGAAGAGCAGTCAGCGCTCTTAACCACTGAGTCATGTCTCCAGCCCCTAATGAAGAGATCTGTTTCTTTGGAAGATGAGTGACCTGGCAGAAACTGTGGAAGATGCGTGACCCATGCATCACCAGAGATACCAGCGCCTCACTTGGAGACTCCTAAGTCAGAGCTGCACCTGGTTGTAGTCAGCCTGAGTCTTGAGGCTGAGAGTCCCAAGCTGCGTCTTATAAGACAGGGGCTGTTTCTTGGCGTAAAACCCACATTCAGCACATGCACAAGGCTTGAAACACACCTCCTGCACCTCTCACACCCACCCTAGGAGGTGGAAAGCTTAGCCCTGCCTTAATGATGAAAGGACTCAAACCGATAGGAGTCTGTTGAAGTCCTTTCAGCTTCACATTGGGGGGGCCAGTTGACACCCCCATTCTTTTTTTTTTTCAAGACAGGGTTTCTCTGTATTGTTTTGGAGGCTGTCCCGGAACTCTCTCTGTAGATCAGGCTGACCTCAAACTCATAGAGATCTGCCTGCCTCTGCTTCCAGAGTGCTGGGATTAAAGGCGTGCGCCCCCAACACCAAGCGACATCTCCCACTCTTAACCCATATTGCACTGTCCACTCCTTTCTGGCCTCCCTCCATTCACTCTTTTTTAAAAAGTCATGTAGTATGTATGGGTGCCCTGTCTGAATGCATGCCTGATGCCCACCAGAGGCCAGGAGAGACCCCTGGGTCCCCTGAACTTGGAGTTGTGGAAGGTTGTGAGCGGACACGCAGGTGCTGGGAGTTGAAGCTGACCCCTGTGGGAGAGCGGCCAGTGCTCTTCCCCTGGGATCCGTCTTTCCAGCCCCTCTCTCGCCATCTCTACCACGGTATTGAAGTGCCAGGTAAACCCCTCACAGCCCGCTAAGATTCTAAAACACATGGCAGGGAGCCAGCAGGCACAACTGGGTGGGGCTACCCTGGAGGGGCTGAGAAGTACCCTTGGCTAGAGAGAGCATCTGGCCTAGTACCTGGCCTCTACGTGACTGACTCAGTTTCCCCATCTGTAAAATGAGGATAATCATGATGAGTTCTTGACAGGCTCCAGGTTGGTGTGCTTTAGGAATAAGCTGGTGTGTGCAGCTACACCTACGAACGAGAAATAGGGCTGGGTGGTGGTGGTGCACGCCTTTAATCCCAGCATGCGGGAGGCAGAGACAGGTGGATCTCTGTGAGTTTGAGGCCAGCCTGCTCTACAGAGTGAGTTCCAGGACAGCCAAGGCTACACAGAGAACCCCTGTCTTGAAAAACCAAATAATAAATAATAATTATATTAACTATTATTTTGCATGTGGAGGTTGTACACTTGGAGGGCAGAGGGGACTGTGAGTGTGAGGCTGATCTTCTTTCCCCTTTGTGTTGGCTCCACAGATCAAACATGGTTTGTAATGCCTGTGCGGCAAGTGCTTCACCTGCTAAGCCACCCAAGACAGGCTGGCCTCATATTTGCTATGCATTGGAGGGTGACCTTGAATTTCTGAGCCCCCTGCCTCCATCTGCCAAGTTACCGGTATGCACCACCCTGCTCAATTTATGCTGGGCTAGGCACCCAATCTAGGACTTTGTGCCTTGTAGCCAAGCACTCTGCCGACTACCGTGCCTCCAGCCCACGTGTGGGGTGGGGTTGAGACCTGCTGGTGTAGTCCAGCTTGGCCTTGAACTCCACATCTGGCTCAGGATGACCCTGACCATCTGAACCCCCTGCTTCTCTTGGCTGGAGTTACAGCAGTTCTGAACTTAGGAAGTTTGTCTCACCCTCCCACTGACTTATTGATAGCACTTCCTTCTATCTGTGCGGATTCTTGGCTGTAACTTTACAGCTGTGTACTCCTTTTGATTTTAATCTAACATCAATTTAGTTTGCTTCCTGCTTGGACTGGGCCAGGCTTGGCCACTGCTGCTCTTTTGGTGGCCTTTAATAACTATGTATGTTTAAGCACTTCCTTAGTTCCTGGCCCAGAAAGGTTTTCCCGGCTAATGCTATTCCAGTCCTGGTCCTAAAAATCTTGGTTATCTTTCTTGAATGATTCTAGAAACAAGATCTGCTGGACAGTATTCCATGCTGCACATACATGCTTTATTCAAATAGCCACTTATGGATTTGGCCTGGCATGACTGCAGCCATCTTAAATTATAATTGCCCTATATTAGCCCTGGTTAATCAGACATGGTGCTGTGTGTACTCAGGAGGAAGAGACAAGTGATCCACATCTTCCCACCCTATTCCCTGCTTCCTGTCTGGAAATCCAAGAGCCTGACTGAAGGCTCTTAAAAATTTTGCCAGACAGTATTGCTACATGCCTCTAATTCCAGCACTCGGGAGGCAGAGGGAGGTGGATCTCTGAACTCGAGGCTGTCCTGGTCTACGGAGTGAATTCCAGGACAGCTAGGGCTACACAGAGAAAACCTGTCTTGGAAAAAAGAAAAAAATATGTTTTGTCTATATCTATGCACCATCATGCAGTGCCCTCAGCCCAGAAGAGGGTACCAGATCTATAGCAGGCCTCCAGAATTTAGCACAACTGACTAAGATGGACGTGCCAGCCAGGCTGTAAAACTCAACAAGTAAACAGCACCACCTGCCAAAAATGCAAACAAAGACCTAATCCGTCAAAGTCCATAGCTCTGGGGAAGTCTCTAAATGGGCTGACCTTGCTTTTTTACTTCTGTAGTTCTGCTTCTGACTGACTGTTCTTGTTAACTGTATGTGTCAACCCAGGATAAGGTTTTTGTGCTTAAAAGTTCACTCTGAGTGCTGGGATTAAAGGCGTGCGCCACCACCGCCTGGCGAGCTCTAGTGTTTTCACAAAAGCTGTTGTCTGTGAATCTCTTTTCGGTCCCAGCCTCAGGTTACATGGTCAGCAATTAAACATATCTTATATAGGCAAGAATGGAAAGCTGGGCCCTAGGGGTGATGTTATGAGCATCTATGTGGCTCTTGGAAATGGAATCCAGGTCCTTTGCAAGAACAAGTATTCTTAACCACTGAGCTAACTCTCCAGCCCTGCGCCCACCCCTTTTTAAGGTGGTCTGGTTTAGAATGTCACTTGTCTGTAGTCGAGACCATAGTTCTTCAGCTAAATTTTACTTTTGTGTGACTTCACATCCTCTAAGTAAATTTATTGGTAAATACTCCGTAACTTCATTACCCAAATTCCCTCCTATGTCATTCCCTGCTGTTGGAACCATTAACAATCTTTTGTAAGGTTCCAACTCAAAACTCGGGGTCACAGGGGACTGAACACTCATAGTCCTCAATCTAGCTGATTGCTAAGCTGACTCTGATGTCAGAACTCAGGAAGGCATATAGCCCTCCCTTTAGTTAGCAGTTTTATGCGCCTTACAGACTCTTTCATATTTATGTCATCTACAAGATGCACAACCAGATGTGTGTAACTCATTAAAGAAGTGAGACAATCCTCCTTAGCAATTCTGCTATTCCCAGACACAGCAGAGCTTCCCGGTCCCAGTGATCCCTACAGCAAGCACTATAACTAATGTTACCATCAGTCCAAAGGCAGGAAGGGGCACTGTAATCCCCATCTCCAAATATCCCCTGTAGAACATGTTTAACTATTGAATGTATAACTTGGGACTGGGACCTAAAGGTTTACAGATGACCGTCTGTGTGGAATGTCAGAGCTCACAATCTACACAAGCAGCAAAGGATTTCTCTTCAAAGGCGGGTTTCTCTTTGGGTGTCAGGCAGAATCAGATGTACACTGTTAATTAAAGAACCTTTTCCTTTTCCCTGAGTATCTGGAGTAAACACTCATGTCTGGGGGCTTAACCTGCTCCTTCAGCTGGATGGTGGTGACTTGTACCCTGGTCCTAATCTCACCTGCCATTTCTCTCACTCCTCCAGATATCCCATTCTACCCCAAAAGCCCCATCGGAGCCACCCCTCCCTAACAGTCCTGTGTATTCTCTCTGGACATGGAATGGGGCAGCAGAGCTAACCATCTCATCCCCCAGTTGTGCTGGCTAGTTTTATGTCAACTTGACACGAGGTAGAGTCACTGGAGGGGGAAGCCCAAGTGAGAAAGTGAGGCACTATGTCAGACTGTAGGCAAGTCTATAGGGCATTTTCTTAATTCAGCACATAGACAGCACCACCTGCTAAAACCAAAGCAAAGGTCTAATCATCAAATCCATAGTTCTCTAAATGTACCAACCAGCTGTCTGCGTGGAAGCGGCTGGAAATCACAGGTGACAGTCCAGTGACCCTCCCCAGCCACTCCTTTCCAGGAGAATGCCAGCAGCCAATAAGCCCTATCGTGATAGACTCTTACACACTGGCACAACTGATCTGATAAACATGGCTGTTTTGCTCTGAGGGTTGTGCTCTGTGATAATCTGGGGTACTCTTGAGTGAAGAAAGGGGGTGCAAAGGGCACACTGTCCTACAGGGTGCTAGTACTGAGGTCACTGGGGAGGGGGAGAAGCTGGGGAGGGGCCACACCATTTCCAGACCTGAAGGTGCTCCCAGCACCCCTGCCAGAGATAGACACTGGACCAGTCTATTCTGGGTCTCCCTCTGGCTCTGTGCCCAGAAGGAACCTGGACACCTTACTGTTCCTCTCCAGGCCACCCGGTCTCACATTTGCTTCACAGCAGCAAGGGTTTTTGTCCCCAAACCGGTTTGTGCCTGCCTAAGGCTCTCAAACTGTCGTCAACAAGCAGGGGAAACTGGAGAACACAAGAAAAGAGCATGGCTGAATGAAGGAACCTGAACCCTGAGGGAAACCTTGATGTAGATAACGTTGGGCTAGAGAGACAGCCTGTGCAGTTGAAAGTACTTGCTGCCCTTCTAGAGGACCTGAGTTCTGTTCAAAGCTCCCATGTCAGATCTCTCTCTCTCTCTGTCTGTCTCTCTGTCTGTCTCTCTGTCTCTGTCTTCTCTGTCTCTCTGTCTGTCTGTCTCTCTCTGTCTCTCTCTTCCTATTTATTTTTTATTTAAATTAGAAACAGGCTTGTTTGCCGGGCGTTGGTGGCACACGCCTTTAATCCCAGCACTTGGAAGGTAGAGGCAGGCGGATCTCTGTGAGTTCGAGGCCATCCTGGTCTACAAAGCGAGTTCCAGGAGAGCCTCCAAAACAATACAGAGAAACCCTGTCTCGAAAAAAAAAAAACCAAAAAAAAAAAAAAAAAAAAAGAAACAGGCTTGTTTCACATGTCAATCCCGGCTCCCTCTCCCTCCCATCCTCCCCTGCCCTCTCCACCAGGTCCCCCAGTCCCCCACCCAATCTCCACTCTGATCCCCAGGGAGGGTGAGGCCCTCCATGGTGGATCTCCAGAGTCTGTCATTTCAGTCAGTTATCTCTTAACTGACGTGATTCCAGTTCTAGAGGGATCTGACTGCTTCTGACCTCCACAGGCACAAGCCCATGCATGTAAAAAATAAATAAATGTAAAAACCGCTTACAAGGCCAGCTGTGCTGGTGCGCTCAGATGGCAGAGGCAGATGGTTGTATGTGGCCAGGCTGTTCTGCATAGTGAGTTCCAGGACAGCCAGGGCTACAAAGTGAAGCACTGTCTCTAAACAACAAAAACCACGCACAAGTTGGGGCTCAGCCATTAAAAGCACTGCTCTTGAGGAGGGCCTGAGTTCAATTTCCAGCATCCACATGCTGTCTCAGACCCATCTTCTGGCCTCTTGCAGGCACCAGGCATGCTCATGGCACTTTAGACACAGATGCAAGCAAAATGTTCACACACATAAAGTTAGTAAATATCAAAGCAAATTTTGTAAGTCAAATGATGGAGATGACTGGTTAGTAGTTACTACCCAGAGGTCTTCTTAAGGCCTGAAATATTGGAGCTCCTATTTGGAGCCAAGTCTGAAAGCTGCAGGCTGGATCCTACATTGTGGATGATTTGAACTTTTTTACATTTTTATTTATTTAATTTTTTTCTGAGACAATGTTTCTTTGTGTAGTCTGTGCATTCTTTGCTGTCCTGAGCTGACTGGCCTAAAACTCATGGAGATCTGCCTGCCTCCAACTCCCAAGTACTGGGTTTAAAGGTGTGTGCCACCACTGCCCCGACTTTTTTTTTCTTTTTGAGATAGGTTGTCATTATATAACCCTGGCTGGTCTGGAACTCACTATATAGACCACCAAGGTGGCCTTGGACTCATAGAGATCCATCTGCGTTGCCTGAGTGCTGGATTTTAAAAGATTTTTTTGAGATTTTTATGTGTATGAGAGTTATACATATATATGCACACTATGTGCATGCCTGGTGCCTGAGGAGGCCAGAAGAGGACATAGGATCCTCTGGAACTGTTAGACAACATATGGGTGCTGGGAACCAAACCTGGGTCCTCTGAATGGGCAGCCAGTGTTCTTACCCACTAAGACATCTCCCCAGAGGCCTCCTTCAGGTCCACTGCTTCCTTCCTTCCTTCCTTCCTTCCTCCCTCCCTCCCTCTCTCTCTCTTTTTCAAAACAGGGTATCTCTGTGTGGCCCTGCCTATCCTGGAACTCACTCTGTAGACCAGGCTGGCCTCAAACCCAGAGATCCACCTCACTCCCGGCTCCATTTCTTTTCTTATAAACAGGTTTTGTGTCTGGGTGTCTGGCTCCCCTCAGCCTTTTCCCAGAGTCCTTTGTTAGATAAGCTTGTGTGACCAGGTGTGATCACCTTCCTGGAATTCCTGAAATGCTCAAACAAACAGCCATATTGCTAACCCTGCATCTTCCCTCTGTTCTCTTCCTTGGATTTCTAAATCAGCCACTGTAAAGTTGAACCTCAGTGAGGAACAGCCAAGCTCCCCCTTGAGTTAGCGATAAAAAACAAAGTGTAGCCAGGCGTTGGTGGCGCACGCCTTTAATAGGCAGGCGGATCTCTGTGAGTTCGAGACCAGCCTGGTCTACAGAGCAAGTTCCAGGACAACCAGAGATATATAGAGACATGGTATTACTATGTAGCCTTGGCTGGCCTGGAACTTGCTCTGTAGATCAGGCTGGCCTCAAAATCAGAAATCCACCTGCCTCTGCCTCCTGAGTGCTGGGATTCATGATGTGCTCAGCCCAAAATAAAATGAATCTTAAAAAAAAAAAAAGAAAGAGCCAGGCAGTGGTGGTGCACACCTTTAATCCCAGCACTCGGGAGGCAGAGGCAGGCGAATCTCTATGAGTTAGAGACCAGCTTGGTCTACAAGAGCTAGTTCCAGGACAACCTCCAAAGTCACAGAGAAACCCTGTCTCAAAAACTTAAAAAAAAAAAAAGAAAGAAAAGTGAAAATTGTGGAATTATATACTAACTAACTGATGCCTCTAGTGTACTGTGTCCTCTCTACTCTTTTCAGATTATAAAATGTGCACAGTGGATCTCACAGAGGCTTCCTGGGTCCGAGCATTCAATACAACCCCCATAAGAAGCTGGAGACTAGAATAGGCTGTGGCTGTCTGTTTGGGGGTCTGTATAACACCATACCCCAGGTATTACAAAGCACTCAAGGATGGTCCCCAGGGATACTCCCCACAGTATGTGTGGGAAAGGG